GCAGTACAGAGCTATTCCCATTGGTCAATGTAAATGAGGCGCTACTCAGGGTTATTCAAATGAGGCGAAGTATAGAGTCATTCAAATGAGGTGAAATACAGAGTCATTTCTATTGGATGGTTCAAATGAGGCACAGAGCCATTCCAGACCAGCATATTCTCAAGGTCTGGTGTCTGGTACAACAGACTCAATTCCCCCCTCCGCTTACAGATGGCTGACCTTGGGGGTGGAGACCTTGGAACGGAGTGTTCCCCATTGGGTGGGGGCACGGGGGCAGGGCCCCAGGCCGGCTCACCTGGTGTTCGCCCTCAGGCCTCCTCGAGGGCTCCTCGCTCGGCCCCAGCCCTGGGGCGCGGTGCCAGGCGGGAGGGCACGGGGCTCGGGGACCCCGCTCGCCGGGGTGAAGGCTTGGGAGGGAGCCGGTGGCTGAGCGTGCGGCGGCGGGGGAAGTGGAGGCCGGCGGGGGGGGGGGAGGGCAGGAGCGAGGCATCCGCCGCGAGCCCCATCAGCTGCCGACCGGAGGAGGAGGCAAACTTAAGAGCTAAGGGGCAGGGGTCTTTCAAGGGCAGGGTGGCCCTCTAGGAATTCTTGGTATTTAGTTAGGTTGTCTTATGGCCTTGTAAGGGAGTTATTGCTGCCAGCTAGGAAATTCCAGGGGCTCAGGTCATTGTGACCTTGGTTAGGTTTTAAGTCAGGTCTCCCTGTTCTTAGGGTGAGAGGTTTGTTTTTCTTCTAAGTCTCCTTATTTTATTTCTTTGTTAATTCTTAAGTCCTTCAATTCATCAACCAATAAGAGAAACATATATACAGATATCTCCCATCAGAGCCAGCTGTAGTTGTAGACAGATACCTGTTGATCTTGTCTGTAGTATAAGGTGATGTATTGCCAATACTGAAATTTCTTCAGGCTGGGTTTCTGTCCTGTTGTAGGTAGCCCAAGAGGCCTCTACTCTACATTAGTACATACATGGGAAGCAAGCATACCATAAAAAGACAAAAAAAAAGAAAAGAAAAGAAAAGAAAAGAAAACTAAATAAGCTTACCCTGAATTGGAAGCAAAAGTTGGGCAGGATATTGATGTCCAATGTGATCTTTGATGGTATTTTTGGATTTCTTTTTACTAGCTATAAAAAATTACAACATTCTGAGATTCTTCTCAGCTAATTTGGCATGGCTGTGTTAGTGTGAAAAGACTCCGAGTGTGGGATTTCACTGCCAAAAAATGACAATGACTAGAATTAGGCCATCACGGGTGTGATCCGTTTAGACAAGCTATTGATACCCAACTATGAACACAGAAGAAAAAGCTAGAACAAATGGGAACTTAAAAGTAAGATGAACTCTGTGAATAGATCAGTGCATTTCTACCCACAATTTCATTTTTAGGGTTTGTTTGCATTGCCAATGAAATGAACATAGTATATATAAAAATTGTGTGTGTGTGTGTGTGTGTGTGTGTGTGTGTGTGTATCCAGAAGAAAGAAAACCTACTGTGTGTTGGACTAGCACATTATATTGTGGAAGATACTGAGGTTTTCATGCTCCCTTCTCTGGTGTCCCAGAAACATGTTCTTTTCAGACCCTACCATGGCAGGCAGTAGCAGATCACACTCTGGATGCTCTGTGGATAGATCGTCTGCGTATTTCCTGCATAAAATATATCAACTGAGAGAACATTTCAGTAATTATTACTATTTTAATTACATTTATTGTGTATGTGTGCACGCATATGGGTGTGCTCATACTTAAGTGTGAAAGTCAGAGGGCAATTTACTAGAGTCAGTTGTCCCCCCACAATGTGGATCTCAGGGATAGAACTCAGGTGATCAGAGTTGGCAGCAGACACTGGCTAAGACATCTTATCAGCCCCAATAATTATGTTTTTAACAGAACAGGCTCCTGTGAACATGGTATCAGATCTCTAGACCAGGGGATGTCAGACTTAGCTACACTTTTGCTGTTTCTCAGTGAGAAGCAGCAAGTGCAGCCCACAAGTGCCTCAGAGGACTTGATTTTCCTGGAAGGTGTTGGAAGGATTTTGTTGTTGTTTTTCTTTTTAAAGTGTGCTCCTGGGGCTGGAGAAATGCATCCGTGGTTAAGAGCACTGGCTACTCTTACAGAGGACCAGGTTTGGTTCCCAGCACCCACACAGTGGCACACAACCGTGAGTAACTTCCAGTCCAGGGGATCTGACGCCCTCTTCTGGCTTCCTTGGGCATTGTATGCAAGTTGTGCACTTAAATACATTCAAGCAAACACTTACACATATAAAATTAAAATAAGTATTTTGAGCATGCATGTGGTTGCACAATGACCACCCATGTGACTGGCAGGGGACCTGAGCAAAGGGGCATTAAGGAATGAGAAGGTAGAGGCCAGACTGCCTGGGCCCACTGTCCTTGTCCATCCGCAGTCAGGCAAAGGAATATCCCAACCAGTTCCTTTCAGAAGGAGCTCTGAGCTCTGAGCACTGCAGGAGGAGACTGCTGCACCCCCCCCCACACACACCCAGTTCTGTTTCCAGTCCTTTCCAGGAACAGGACCAGCTAAAACCAGCAGGTACATTGGATTGTGTGAGTGCATCCATGGATTACTCTCCTTAGCAGTCCTGAATCTAGGGACTGAATCTAGGGACTGGGAAGAACTACTTTCACCTAGGCAGTGCTCTGGGGTCACTTATCCATGAAGTGGTCAGCCATCTTCCCTTTAAGAAGGTAGGATCCTTAGCCAGGTGTGGCGGTGCACACCTGGAAAACCAGCACTTGGGAAGTACAAGCAGGGGGATCAGGTCATCCTCAGCTACACCATGAGAGTTCCAACCCAGACTGGATCACAAAACAAACAGTGTCAGCTCCTTCAGGCTGTCACCTCTGACTGTGGAAGTTACAGCAGATAACTTCTGGTAGCTTCAGCCTGTAGTCCCAGCACTTGGCAGGCTGAGGCAGGAGGATTGTGAGTTTGAGGCCTGCTTAGAACACATAGTAAGACCTTGTCTCTAAAACAAACAATTCACAAATAAACAGACTTCAAACTTTAGAACTCTAATGCTGGTTAATCTCTGTTTGAAATCAAAGGCTAAATATTCCAAAGCTGGTTAAGAAGCATTGAGAAAACAGAAACATTGTTATCACACATGCTTGTGGTTACCAAAGCCTGGACATCTGAAAGACAGCACTGGCACAAATCCTACCACACCACCTCTGGCTGCTGAGTGCCAGACTTCTGGAGCCAGAACATGAATCAGAGTCCATCCTATGTCAGCACATAACCCTGGCCTCCAGATGGAGCACTTGTTGGAGATTTTGCCATAGAAAAAAGAGTTTGCTTGTTGTTATACACTATTCTCAAACTGAGTCACCAGAAATCTGCACTCTCTTACTCACTGACTTACTCACTGACTTACTTATGGCTTCTCTGACCTTGTGGCAATCAACCAAGCCAGAACCATGGAGGGAGGGAGGGGGCTTGCGGTTAGGAAGGGCTGTGGAGATTTCCTGTTTCCATAGTGGGATTGTCTATACACTTTAACCATACCAACAGTGCCATCATCTTCAGGTATACACTGCAAGAATTGGACATGTCCTTCCATTCAAACCCTAGTATGAGGAAAATGTGAAGTACTTGGCCATGCTGGGTCAATGTTGACTGAATGATTTACTCATTGGCTTCTTAAACTGAGAAGACAAACATCTGTTAGAAACCAGAGTCAACTCGTCCCTGGGGCCTATGAAACAGTTGTCATTAATTTGCCTCACATATTTTTCTTACATGTTGAGGAACCCTTCAATCACGCAGCTGAATGTTATGAAGGAGGTTGGAATGAGTCAGAGGTGAGATTTAGTTACTAGCTACATACTTTGAACTGTTGAAAACAAGAGTGGCCCCCAGTACAGAGGGTTGAAACTCATCATGTATACCAAGCAGCAAATCGAAAGTCCACTAGAGGGCAGCAACGGGCCAGGAATTGACTAGAAGCTGTGCCTTTGTAAGAACTGAGGTGACCAAATCCTCTAGGGACACAGGTCTGTGAGCCAAGGAGCAGAAGTGGGGAGGATGAGACTCAGCTCTGGTGGTAAGTGGAGCATCAGTCAAGATCTGTAAAGAAACTAGGTGAAGAGTATGTGAGATGGCTGCCAAACTTGCTGACCTAAGTTCAATTCCAGGGTAGGAGAGCACTGAATCCTACAAGTTGTTTTGTTTTCTAAACAACACACACACACACACACACACACACACACACACACACACACTTTAAAGCAAGTCAGAAGCCAGGAGGCCTGGAAGCAGAGGTTCTAGAGGAACACCCCTGAAAAGTGTAAATGCAGTATGGAAATATCAAGAGTCGTAGAGACTGTGCAAACCAAGGCCCAAATCATTGGAAATTCAAGAATCTGACTGAGAATGGAGGGCACCTAGGTCTGAAGCATACACTAACCCACTCAGTCTGAAAAAGGTATGACTGGGATCACCTGTGATGACTTCCTGACCTGCGTCCTTAGCTGGAGAAGCACCTGTAAGCATTTTGACGGATCAGATGGGATGGACAGGGATCCTGGTACTTGGGAGTCACAGAATACTGAGTATTACAGCTCAAATGGACAGGGATTCTGGTACTCAGGAGTCAAGGTATCACAGGTCACAATAAGCATAGCACCTTACAGCTCTGCTTCAGGAAAAGGCTTCCCCAATGTATCAGCTCTGCTCTAGCAGGGGAGGGCTTCCCCAGAGAAGTTGTTACAGTTCAGCTCCAGTCCCCCAGAGAAGAGTGTAACAACTCTGCTTTACCAGGGGAAGGTTTCTCCAGCAAAAAGTGTTACAGACCTGCTCCATTCAGCCTAGGGTCATCTCTGCTCGGGGAAAGAAGGTCTCACTCAAACCTCGTTCAAGAGATGTATTGGGAGGGAAGAATCCAGGAGAGGGACTGCCTCTGCCAGAGTGGAGGACATCAGACAGCAGACGGCCAGGAGCTGAACAGACATGGGGTTTATATAGGGCTTCATATAAAGCTTCTCTGGTGGAGTTTCTCCAGAGAGATTTCCAGGGTGGGGATTGGTCAGATTTCAATCCCTGAGCTCAGAATGGCTAGATCTCCTGCTCGGGGACTGGTTGGTTTTCTGCACAGGTTTAGGGTCAGATTTGGTTCTGGTTTCAGGGCCAAAGTGTGTTTCTTTCACACTGGTCCTTTTTAGCCTTTTGGCTCTAGTTTTAGGGCCAGGATGTAGATGTATTTCTTTCACTGGCTCTGATTCTAGGGACAAAGTGTGTCTCTTTTTGGCACTGGTTTCAGGGTCAGGGTGCATTTCTTTGGCTCTGGTTGCAGGGCCAAAGTGTGTTTCTTTGGCTCTGCTCATCATGTTTCTTTGGCTGACCCTTTTTCCTTACAGCACCACCCAAGCATTGGCATTGCTTTCATTTCCTGCACACAATCACTGACTAAGCGTGTGATCAAGCTCTCCAAATCTCACCCCATCTAGACTTTCCAACAGGAAAAAGTAATGCTAAAGTCATCTGAGAAACGAGAGTCAAAATCACAGTAAGATGTTACAAGACTGCTACAGCAGTGTAAAAGACAGCAAGTTAAGGGCAGGGAGGGAAGGGGCTTCTGCACACTGCCTGTAGGGCTGTAAATAATACAGCAACTGTAGAAACCAGTAAAGATGTACCTTGAAATATTTTTTTTTAAAAAAGGACTACCTAGCAACAGCAATCTCACATTTACTAAGGAAGTTAAATCAGTATATGAGAGAGAAATCAACACTTCCATGCTTATTCTAGCAACATTCACAATGGTCAAAAAATGGAAGCGATCTAAATGCCCATCACCTGGTAAGTGGATAAGGAAAACACGGCAGATAGGCATAATGGAATACTATTTGGCCACACAAAAAGAATGAAACCCTGTCATTTATAGCAAAATGGGTAAAACTAGGCCAAAGTCATTTTATGTAGTCAGATAAGCCAGACTCCATGAAATAAGCTCACTCGAATGTGTAAACCATGACCTAGACCCGTAAAACCTGAAAGCATCATGATGCTGAGTAGAGGAGAGTAGGAAAAGGAAGAGATGAGGACGACAGGTCCATTGATGGGGGCTGAGTTACTGTGAAGAGGGAAAGATAAATCCTTCTGTGCTGCTGCAGGAGGTAAAGATCATGTGATGCTGCTTTCAAAGTTAGCTGAATTTGCAAGGTTTTAGTATAAATAAACAATAATTAAGGAAACAAGTATATTTACCCTGATTTAGACATTATGTAATATAAACATCAAAACCACATGATTCTTCAAAAATTTGTACATTTTATGACAGTCTAAAAAGGACAACTAAATTAGTGTTAGCTTGATTGTGGCAATTACCTCAAAATGCATACCTTTATCAAATCAATATGTTGTATATATCAAATATGTATAATTTTTGTCAGTCATACTTCACTAGAGCTGGAAAAGATTTTTTAAAAGAGTATTCACTAGAAAGACTAAGCCAGGCCTACTGGCACAGACCTATAATCCTAATTATTCAAGTGGCTGAGGCAGGAAGATAGTAAATACAACCTTGTCTGGTCAACACACTGAAACTCTACCTCAAAATAAAGAAAATACAATTTTAAAAGGCTGAGGGTGCAGTTTAGCGGCAGAGCTCTTTCCTAGCATGCATGAGGCCCTCCCTGTATTCCATTTGATTCTCAGAGACACAGAAAAGAGAAAGATGGAAAGAAAGACAAGACAAAGAAAAGGAAAGATGACAAACAGCAGGGCATACAAGATGACAGGACGGACAGCTCACAAGACAACCAGGAAGGCTGTAGCCCACCTTCCGCCTCCAAGCAGTCCAGCACAGAAGCTTTATTTAGGAGCATTGCAGCTACTTATGGTGTTCAGACCATGAAGGCCATTCACATGCTGAAAACACATGTCAGCATCACATGATTCCATCAGTGAGCTTTGCTACCATTAGACCTAAGTTACTGGACTTAACTGCACAAGAGTGCTTCATGAGGCTGAGAGCAAGGGTTGCAAACAGGCCTGCAGACATTTTGTATTTTGCCTGCACTGACAAAAAGAAATGTTTAAAAAGTTGCCAACATTGAAAAATAGAGAATTCTCTATTAAAACTCCAACTGTTCATGAACTCAGTCATTAAAGGGGTTTTCTTTGCTCAGAATTAACTGTTCTGTGAAAGTTTGTTGGAAGTCCACCTATAAAAGCTCCACTTAGTGTTTTCTCTAAGGGTGGTATTGCTAGTTGGACTTTCATTTAAAGTCATAGACTTCATTTCACCCCTTATTCTTTGGTCAGCTTTAGAAAAGCGTATTTTCTGAGGAAGCATTATTGTAAGCCTTCAATTTTATTGTCAGAAGTCGCTCATAAATACCTTTTATTGTTGTAATGTTTTCAGTGTCTGTGGTTCTATTTCCCTTTTCATTGATGCCATGATCATTTATCTTTCTCTTGAGATAATTTTGCTGGAATTTTCCAATTCTCTGTTATTTCTTAATTTCTGTTATTTTTCTATGTCAATAATCTGCTTTTACTATTTCTAGATTTCTTACTTTGTATATGATATGATGGATTTATTCATAAGTTTTTGAAGTTTGAATCTTAGTTCCTTAGTATTGATCTTTTTTGATCTAGTACGTAACTCATTAGGTTCTGAGTGTTCTTTTAGCTGCATCTCACAGATATTGAAATGTAGAGCTTTACCAAATCAATTTTTACCTATTTTAAGTTTATATCATGTTTTTGTTTTTGTTTTTGTTTTTTTACTTCTGTTCATGAGTTGTGGTGGATTTGGTAAATTAGCATTCATTATCCATTCCAAATCTGTCTATATGTTAAAAAGGTAATTCAGAAACTTGAATGTTAACAACCTCATCTGTCAGACTCCCTTGCAGCTAGCTACAGTTCTGTGAAATGGATTCTTCTATCAGACACACTTTACATTATTTGAAAGGTAGAGAGCAAACATCATCTTTCTGCTGAAGAAGCATTCACATATTGATAATATCTCTCTCCCTTCACTTCCCTCCCATGTGGAAGCCCAGAGCTGGCAGTGGGTGTCTTCTTCCTTGCTCACTCTCCATCTTATTCACCGAAGCAGGGTCCTTCAGTTGAGTTTACTAATCACCAGTCTAGCTTACAGCTTGCCTCCAGGGATACCATGTCGCTGGCTCCCAAAAGGTAGGATTACGGTCAGCTACTATGCCTGCCTAGATTTTATTGCTTTTACATGGGTTCTGGGGATCCAAACATGGTCCTCTCACTTGTGTTATTAATGCTCTGCCCACTGAGCTATCTTCCTAACCCCTGTCCCTGATTTTTGTCTGAATGATGCAAAACAAAGTGATAAATTAAAAAGTTGTACTTTGGGGCTGGAGAGATGGCTCAGCAATTAAGAGCACTTGCTGCTCTTGCAAAGGCCCAAGGTTTGGTTCCCAGCACCCATATGGAAGCGTACAACTGTCTGTAACTCCAGTTCCAGGGCATCTGACACCCTCTGGCCTCTAAGAACACCAGGCACACACATGGTGCACACACATATATGCAGGCAAAATACTCATACACACACTAAAAAATCTTATTTTAAAATTTGTACCACATAATGAATTTATCACTTCCTTCTAGCAGTGTGGCATTTTGTTTGAATGTTAAAATGCTGCAGTGTTAAGTGCAGTGAGGGGAGGGGACATCTCCAGCCTTCATGGCAGCAGAGTGATGAGCTGAGGCCTAAAGACAGTTTGGCACAACACAGCTCAGCTCAGCACCCAGTGCTGGCTCAAACTTTGGGAACCTGACCCCATGTGGTTTATTTTAAGCATATTTAAGCACAGCACAATCTGGTGAATAACTACTCTTCTCCTTCTCTGGAAACTTCTCTTTTTTCTTGAAGTTCAACTTTGAACTTTTTATGGTAATGATTTCTTAGTAAATTCAAACGTGGTTCTTCTGAGAAGGTGTGCTTATTTGTACTTGAGAAAGAGTCGATGAGTGTAGCTTTTAGATTTGAAAATAATTTTCTATTAAGAATTAAAGTCATTTTGCCACCGTTTTCTGACTTTTATTTTGCTGCCAAGAATCACTCTTTTTAATTGCTATTCCTTGCTAGTGTGCCTGTTTTAAAGGAGACCTTTTCATATGGGTGCCTATGCTTTGCTTATAATGTGTCCTGGTGAATTTCTTGTAATGTCATGTCATCTTCCAGGTTCCAGGATGGGTTGCTTTTGACAGGTCAGGACAATTCTTGGCTGCCGTCTCTTTACATGTTGCCTCCTTGACAGCCTCTTCTCCTGCAGCTGTCATCTGTCAGACTCTCCCCTCCATAGCTCACTCCCTCGCTCATTCTTTCGTCTGCACCCTTCCGATCGGCATTAGGAATAACCTCTTTAATTTACTTTCTAACTCACTAGTTCTCTCTTCAGCATCATCCAAACTGTCACCTTCAGTTACCACTTTTGTATTACTAGAGAGTCTATTTCTTTATCAAATCTACTTGGCTGTTCCTTGCAGTCTCTTTACCATTCACACTTTATTTTTTTATTTTTCTGAGGACATTAAATATGGCTATTTTATAATTTGCATCTGATGATCTTAAGTCTGCTTCTGACTTTTTCTTATTCCTTTCCGGATATTTTGGTATGTGTTTGTTACTAAAACACATATAGCCCTAACTGGCCTGAACCAGGCTGGCCTGAAAGTGGAGGCCATCCTACTGCCCCCACCTCTTGAGTGATGAGATTACAGGAGTGTCCCATCATGCCAGGCTTCCTATTTCCGACTGATTCCCAGCTGTCCCTCAGCCACACGCCTCCTTCCCACCCCGTCCTCCTCCTCTTAATTCTGCCCTTGCTCTGTTCACTTGCTTAGCAATTAGTAGTTTCCTAGAGGAAATCTCTGGAGCTGCCTCAGAGCTGTCTGCTCCTGCAGAGTTTCAGGTCTGCTGCTGTCTCCCTTGGGGCCCTATCAGCCTGGAGCTGTTCTAAATTTAGCAGTGTTCCAGGGTTGTGGTTGTCTTTCTAATCATACAATGTATGTAAGTTTGGGCCTGGACTCTAAGAAAGACAGTTTCTCATTACAAATTGTCAGTATATTTTAAACAATTTTCTTATATCTAGTGTCAAAGTAGAAATAGCAACTCTCCTTTCTGTTCTTCAGTGTACCAGGGATATCTGTGCACCGTCCTACACTCGCTCATAGCCTGAATTCTCACCCGGGTGCAGAAGGCTGTCCTCATACATGGCATGCCCTCACTGGCCTTGGGCTGTAATCCTCTCTACTACCATCCTCAGAGTTCCTCTCCAACCTCAGAGTTCCCTTGTCAGTGCCTCGTGACATGCCTCTGCCCGCTCATTTCCTGACCACTGTAGATTTCCTTCATTGAAGCTTACTGATAAGTTTCTTAAAGCTCTTGGTTTACCTGACATTTAAAATTTTTTTCTTACAACTGAGAAACTGGTCCTACTGGCCACCAAATCTAATGATCCAAGTTTGATTCCCAAAACACATAGTCAAAGGAAAGAATCCATCCTGCATGTTGTCCTCTGACCTCTACATGCCAGCGGTGACACACACGTGCTCAATTTTAAATAAATAAATAAATAAATAATAAACAAATGACAGAGAAGCAATTTATGATGTCTAATTCACTATATGGCCCAGAAAAATTACCTTGACACACAAAGGGCAGATCGCTGTGCTGCAGGCCTCTGCCTCAGTGTCCCACAAGCAACACACTGACTGGAAGGGGCCTGAGTCTACTATGTTTCTGGGGACAGGCTTCATTCTGCAAGATCCTGAAAGAAAAGCCTGCTAGGAATTCATGGTTATTGTTGGTGAGTAAGGATTTTGCAAGACCCTGGAATTACCTTCCTCTGCAGAACGGCTGTTTTGGGAGGCATCTCCTCACACACTGTGATGATAACAAAAAGGCTGTCAACTTAGCAGCACCATCTTGCAATGACCAATGGAGTTAATGGGCTCAATATAGAGAATCTGTGGCAGCTAAAATGGCTGTTTTCACCTCTCTCTCTCTCTCTCTCTCTCTCTGTGTGTGTGTGTGTGTGTGTGTGTGTGTGTGTGTGTGTGTGTGTGTGTCTTACCAAAGATTTTGACCCTGGGTCTGAGATAACTCATGGGTCCAACTGCAGGGAACATAGCGATCAGAGTACCACAAGGAGGACAAGCACAAGACATCACAAGATCCAGACTCAGGTTCTTCAGCTGACAAAGATGGCAAGAGGCAAGAATCTATGATTAAAATTTACTTGGCGGCATATCAAACAATTTCTAAGAGAAGGGACAATGTTAAACTACGGTGTCTAAAGTCACACATTAAATGGCCAACTAGAAAGACATGTGAAGAGGTAAGTGCTGTGATGTCAAAACAGTGGTGCCTGAGGGGGAGGAGGCAGCTGTCACCTGCTGTTCTTACTTACAGACTCATTGAGCTATGCTTTTGTGTGCCTTTCCACCTTTGCCGTCTTCGACAGTGAAACGGGTTTTTAATGTAGGTTGGGGAAAGGCTTGCTCTCAACAAACGGTCTCAATGCCCAGGCAATTTTTATCCAGTCCCACATGAAGGTGTCCCTTGCTCTACTGCCTAGCCCTCCCTGTCTCCCTGGATAAAGTTGTTACACTTCACCTTGGCATGGATGGCCTTCCCTGCTCCCTGCATCTGAGCTCTCCTTCCCCTGAGGTCCATCCACCCCTACGATACTGTGGTATATTTCACTTTATAATCATGTTCCTCTTTCTGGTTCACTGATAATGGAGAATGTCTAACTGGTTGTATGTGGCCCTTAAGGATGAGCACAGTGCATTGCACAAAAAAATGTCATCAACAAGTACTTGTTTTGCAGTGTAAAGTACTTGCTATCTTTTCTTTAAAAGGCAACCGTCACCATTGGCTGCTCTTAACAGTCTTCTTGCTCGTTCTCTTAATACAAAATGACTTTACTCAGTATTTGGTTATAAGCCACAAAGTCTGTAACTTTCTCGGCACTTCTGTCTGTTACAGACCAAAAAACAATAACAAAAACAAACAACAGCAAAAACAAAAAACAAAACAAAACTGCGGCAAAGAAGTAAAGAACAGGCCCAAGTATTGAGGATTCCCACTGTTCCAGCTGGCAGCTGTTCCCCAGTATAGGGGCGGGGCGGGGCGGGGCAGCAAGGCTCTGCGGGTTGTTTGCCCTGGAGCCCTAAGAACTAAGCCTGGGCCTAGGAACCGCAGGAAGTCTCTAATTTCAAAACGGGGCGTTTCCGGAATGAGCAGAAAATGAGCAGGTACCACGAGCGGGTCCTAATGGGGTCCCCACTCCTCCGTGGTTCCCACAGC